GGACAAAGATCTAGTTCCCGTGTCTCTTTGAATGAAGGTCTGTTTTTTTTCCATTCTGCGTCTGTTTGAAGTTTTTCTCTTGAAAAGCAGCCTTTGCTACTGAAATAGAAAGGGCAGAAACCACTGTGCTAGCCACGGTCCCTGGAGTCCTTTGACTGAGGCTGGGCCAGGAGCAGGAAGGACCTGCATGGAAACACAGCAGCGAGGCTAGCTGTGCCCCTGGGTAAGAGTGGCTGAAAGTTTTGACTCTGCCCTCCTCACTACTTTGGGGACAGTTAGGGCCTGGAACCATGGAGGTACTACTGGGGGTCTCCACTGCTCTCAGAGAACCTGTTGAGTGGGGGGGTAGGCAGCAGAGGGTGTCGAGAGGAGCAGGAGGATTAGGAGGAGAGGCACTATGGGGGGATACCCTATTCACCCCACCCCTCTGCACTGTGTAGGAGCGTCTCTCAGACTTTGGCATACATAGGTGTCTGGGCTGCTGCAGAGTGAGTGACCACGGCTCACAGATGAGGGCTCCCTGACAAGGGCTCCATGGAAGGGCTCAGGGCGCCTGGGAAACTGTATCCCCACCTGGCTGCAGGCAGAAACACAGGCCCTAACTGTGCTCTCAAGTAAAGGCTCAGCCAACATAGGCCTGGGCCTCCTGGCTCAAAGTCCCCAAGGTCGTGCTATTTGTTTAGCAAGAGGCACCCAAGGAAGGGCATTCCAGGGTTAGTGAGGGGGGAGGGGGGCCGCAAGGCTGAAACCATCCCATCCCCCAGCTCCTGCCATGGATTCTAGATGCCCGGTGAGGAAATCTAGGAGCAGTAACAGGGGTTCTACAGACACTGAAAAATGGAAGGGTCATCCCAGAGCAGAAATTTCAGCCAAAGACAAAATGTCAAGGATTATTTTCATACTCAAGCAAGCAGTTATTTCATGGAAACGAAGCAAAATCTATGGAAAAATAATGATAAAACAGTCTCCAAGGAAAAAGGTCTTCACTTGAGTCCTGGGCCCTCCCCTTTGAGAGTCTGAGAGGCCAGCCTCACAGACAGGCAGGGGCAGGAGCCAGCTGTGTCCTCTGTCACTAGGAAGCAAGCTGGAAAAGAAGTGGCAGGCACAGTGGTGCTTTGACGGGCGGGATGACAGAGAAGAGAGGCCTAAAACAGGGCAACTGTGTGGGCCCCAAGGAGCCTTTCTCAGCCAGAGCCCCCTGCACAACCTTCAGGGACCTGGCTCTGAGGCCATTACTTAGATGAACAGTTAACGGAATGAGAACTCTTTACTTCCTCCCTGCAACAGCAAAAGCCGGGACCTGATGGTGCCACTTCCAGTGCCTGGGCCCGAGGGGCTGGTTCAGAGTCTGAGGGAAATACAGTATTGGTCCAGAGAGAGCCCTAGCAAAGCTGCGGAAAACACCCAGCTGCGGAATCGCAGATCTGAAATAATCCCACTGTTAAGGAGATGTAAGGTCCGACATACCTGTTCCTGGGGAAAGGCTTTGCCTGTGTTCCCAATCTCTCCCAATGACCAGACCAGGGTTTTTTTTTTTTCTCTTTTGAGTGAGGATGAAAAATGTCTCTAGCGCAAGGCACAGTTTTCTCAGAGCCACAAAGACGCTAAAATAGCGTTAAATACGGAAAGTATGTATGACAGAGAAAGGCGTCTGGGACCAAACGTTAATTGGAAAAGCAGAGTGAGAAACAGTATGTACACTATGTCTAGAGTCCAGACGGCACGGGCCAGCCTCAGGGGGAAAAAAACTCAGGAAAGACAAGGAATGATGCTGTCTGAATGAGCTAGGGTGTGGGCTTTTCTCTGCTTTCCAACAGTGCACCAAGGCTGACTTCTCCCTAGTCGCAGTCTGGTTAAAGAGACAAAGAAAAGCCAGGCCAGTCAGGCTCCGGCTTTGTGCCAATCTCTCCCACCCTTGCAGACAGTCCTGAAATGGAGCCTGAGCGCCTCCCTGTGGGCACAGCAGGGAACGCCTGAGGTTGAGCACAAGGAAGGCTGTTCCAGAAATGTCCTGGGAGCTGGGGGATCTGAGCTTGGGAGCCAGGAGTGCTGTGTGCAGAGGAGCAAAGGAACTCAGACAATAGGCCTCTGGTGGGACCAAGAATACTCCACCAAAGGGAGGTGGGCAGCCCTTCTGTCCATGAGAGGGAAACCTGACTCTTCAAGTCACTGCTGTGTCATATACGAAGTGCCCTGGTTACTAACTTACTTATTTACTCACTCCATCCATCCATCCATCCATCCATCCATCCATCCATCCATCCATCCACCCATCCTTCCATCCATCCATCCATCCATCCACCCATCCATGTCAACTTGACACAAACTAGAGTTACCTGAGAAGAGGGGCCTGGGTCGAGACAATGCCTCCCTCAGATTGCCTTCACGGATGTATGTAGTGCATTTTCTAGAATAATGCCTGGTGTGGGAGAGCCCAGTCCTCAGGGGGCAGTGCCCCCTTTGAGTAGGTGGGCCTGGTCTGGAGAAGACAGCAAACTGAGCAAGCCCGGGAGACACAGCATCCATCCCTTCATGGTCTCCACTTCAGCTCCTGTCTCTCTTCCCTCAGTGACTGTGATCTGGGGGTTTAAGCCAAAGAAACCTTGTCCTCCCCTCCCCGAGTTGCTTTTGGGCGTGGTCTTTAATCATATAAGTAGAAACCAAACTAGCGCACCAGGCTTTGGCCAAATCCCTGCTCAGAGGAGTCTTGACTTCTCCATGAGTTAACCCCCCCCCCCCCAGCTCATGCCACATTGCCAAAAGATGGTCACAGGTGGCTCCAAGCCCTAGTTCTGCCATTTGGGCTGTTTGAATGAGCTCAAGACGCCTGACTCTAGACTCCAGTGTCCTACCACAGAAAACAAAGTCAGCCTCACAGTGATCTGTCTCCGACAGTCGGGGTGCCAGCAATAGCCCCAGAAAGCAGTTTCTCGTGTTCTGGATCTTTTCACAAATGAAGGAGGCATGGGCACAGAGTGTGCTTAGCGAGGTTTCCTATGTTCTCAAGCCTCGCTCGGTCTCATATGAAGCATGTACACGTGTGTCCTGATGTTCCACACACTGACTGCAGGTCACAGCCAATTGCAGAAGTGCTGTCTCACAGGTAACACGAGCTCCTGCACGCAAATGCCAATTAGCTCAGTTCCTGGCACTGAGAAAGCTCGCGAGAAACCTTACTTATTATTCCTGACAGAGCTGATAATACCAACTGGTGTCACATGGGTCCTTAAGAGAAAATCTGGCAGGAAGGGGAGTCCTCTTGGTGCTGCTTTCCCAGAATCCAGAAGCCAGCTGCCCTGACCCCCCAAGGGCACAGAGCTCCCTCCAGGTGGTCCCAGGCTGGCCGCCCAACACCGGCCCCTCAACTCTGCTACTAGACTAAGAAATTCAAGGCAGCACTTGCCAACCCCAAGAGCATTTTCCTACCCAAAAAAGGAGCCACTTTGCTAACTATGTTGTTCAGCCAAAGGCTGGTGCAGCCTCAGAAGTCCATTTCAGCTTGGCACGGCTCCTGGTTACTTAGAACGGCAGATGGCATGAGTTCAGACAATGCCCTATTCTTAACAAAATAAAGCCCAGGCAGGGTCCTAGGGCTGGGTGAGGCCCACAAGAAGTGGATATTATAGGGTTCTCCCCATGTCACCCTGGTATCCTCACTGCCTGTCCCTTGTGGACCAGACCCCTCCTCCTCACAATATACACTGGCTGAAGGCTACTGGGGACACTAGATTCCCCTGGCCTGGGGACCTCTGCCCAATGTGAGGCCTCATCTCCTCTGTGGTGGGCTCACATCCCTGCAGTCCATGTTCCAGATGTCACACTTGGGGAGGTCAGCCCATGCTGAAAGGGTGGCATGCTGGGGACCTCATCTTGTATGTCATCACACTGAACATGCCTTTGTCTAATTCTTCGGGGGATCTTGTTTCAGGCAGCTTCCCCTGTCTGTATCCTGAGGATGGCAAGCAAGTTCCCAAGACCCATTTATCACAGTGTGGAGAAGGGTGCCCCGGGCCGTGGTCTGGTTCTGCTGGAAGTGGACCTTATGATGACGGCTAACGTGAACACCTACATTCCTAGATCATCTCCCCGCAGTGCTTCACGCAGTAGGTACTGTTGAGAGCCCATTTTTACGGACGAAAACTGGAGAAAGAGGCAGATAGCCAGGGAGCCTTGGCGACTGAAGGATGGAGCTGGAATTCAGGCCCAGCGGCAAGCGCTCAAACTCGGTGCCAAGCCAGCGCCATTCTTCACCTTGGGCTGTTGTTTGAAAGGAAGGAACAGCTGAGACACAGCATGTGAAGCACACAGCGTTATGCTCAGCACAGAAAATATTAGTATATTAGCTGCTCTTTGCTTGAGCCAAGAAGGTATTCTGGGATAGCTGAGTAGCTGGTTTCCATTAGGGAAGCCATTGTGTTCCCAGCCCACATCCACTGGGGGGGCGGGGACTGTGGCAGATGTCTGGCTGTGCATCTCCTCCTCCGGCCTGTGCCCTGACCCCATTTCCAGCACAGGGTGGTCCCTGTAGCCAGGGCTCAGGAGCGGCTCACTGATTGGCTGGATGCACCAGAGAGGCGTGAAGCAAAAGGGGTGCCTAGCTGGTTTGCCTCTCCATCTCCTTGGAGCGTGTGTGAGCATGTGAAGGGGACACTGTCCAGTCACTGTCACAGGTGATTTACACCTACACGGTCCTGGAGGAGCTGAAGGGAACCCTGCCTTACAGACGGAGAAGCATGTTCAGGGGCAAACAAGTCCCATTGCCACTCATTCAGCTAGAAGGAGAACCCAGGTCCCAGTGCCAGTACTGCTGTGTCCAGCAGGCTGTACTACTGAGCTACCATGGGGCTATCTGTGTAGTTAGTCACAGACGGGAATCTGACAAGGGATGGGTATGTGTAACCCTGAGGTGGAGCAGAGTGAACTCTCCTGAGCACACCAGTTCAAAATCCCATGGCCCAGACCCCTTTGAGCCCAGGACCTGGGACGCAGTGGAGACCTACCGTATGATGCCCAGGGGGTCGAGTGCCTCTTCCTCCTCCTCTTCCTCCAAGGACTTCTCCACATCCTTGTTGCTCAGGTTTAGTGTGGGCGGCTGCACATCATCCTGCTGCTCAAAGAAATCAAAAGCCTCATCGCTGTCCCCTGGCTGGCTGGCTGTGTCACCCAGGACAGAGGGATCTCTAGTGGCAAGGCCTGCAGCCCCTGCAGCCCTGGTTCCTATGGGAGAAGAAAATGAGAGCTTGATGTCCACTTTCCAGGTGATATCTCCATACCCACCCTTGGGAGCCAGGATCTGAGGGCTTCCTGAAACTTCCTGGGAGCCCAATTCTGAGAGTCTGGGAGAGGGCCAGGTTCTGAGGTGTCCCCCTCAGGGATGCTGGCACCATGGGAGGCCGGTGCGGCCTAGCTATGGGGAATGTCAGAACAGGCTGAAGGTAAGAGTTTCAGAATTTCTGTGGCCCAGTGTTGTGTGAACTTTGCCCAGGAAGACACGGACAACTCTCTGCTCATCCCAGATAGAGGACCACCTGCAGAAGAAAGGGACGAGTCCACCCATGTCTAGCTTGATGCACCGAGTTTAACTGGGGTTACTTACAGAAGTGTCTTATAAGCAGCTAGGCCATGTTTTTAAAAAAAAAAGCGACTCCTTTCTAACAGCTTGTCCATCTGTCCATCCGTCCATCCATCCATCCTGCCCATCCATCCCTACATTCATCCTGTCCATCCATCCCTCCATCCCTCTCTCCCTCTATTCACCCTGCCTACCCATCCATATATCAGTCCATACATCCTATCCGTCCGTCCGTCCGTCCGTCCGTCCACCCATCCATCCACCCACCCACCCATCCATCCATCCATCCATCCATCCATCCATCCATCCATCCATCCACCGATCCATCCATCCACCTATCAGTGTGTCTGTCCCTCCATCTACCTTATCTGTCACCCAGGGAGAGGTGGGGCCTTCTGAGTCCCTTCAACATCCAGGAGGGAAAGTAAACAAACCCATCTTTTGTGTTTCACAAACAGGTTAGTGATCACAGCCGCTAAGAATCCAAGAGAGCAGCAGCTGTGTCATGCCAGGGGACAGCATGCCACAAAATTCAGAGTCAGCTCTACCACAGAAACAGCAAGGCCAGTGCCCAGCAAACCCGGTGGTGAAGCACACCAGCCAGTGTACAATGAGGCTTGAGCGGGACCGTCTCTTTCTCAAGGTTGCTGACCTCACCATAGGCAGACAACTCCAGGAGCCTGCATGATCAGATTTCTACCCGAATGAGTGCGGTGAGCATGTGGGAGAGTCCAGAACAAACCGCGACCACCCCAGGACAACTGGGCTGACATCAGTTCTCAAAGCATGAAAGGCAGGTGTTTGTGGTAAAATCAGTTCAGAAAGGGGAAGCAAGCCCCCAGAAACAGAGGCGTGGCATCACTGCGGCATGTGCACACGTAATATCTGTGAGCACATCTGTCTGTGAAAGCCTGGGGATAAACAGAGAGTCCTCCCCCACGGACACTTTGAGAAGCGTAGGTTTGGACTGTTTGTTCATTTCCACATGAACAGGCTACCAAAAAGTGGGTACCATCACTTAAAAAGAAATCACTCAGCCAGGCATGGTGGTGCACACCTTTAATCCCAGCACTGAGGAGGCAGAGGCAGGCAGATCTCTGTGAGTTCGAGGCCAGCCTGGTCTATGTAGTGAGTTTCAAGACAACAGGACTACATAGTTAAGCTCTGTCTTAAGTGGACAAACATCACTCAGTAGTTAAAAATCCTAAAAAGGGTTCTTCTTTCACATTTGGTTTATGGGAATTACGTCCCATAGAACCATAGAAGTGGAGATCCATGAGATCAGAAAAGAGCAAAGTTAAAAAGGCTGTCGGGAAAAGGGAGGGGGTGAAGAGAGAGAGAGAGGTAGGCACCAGACGTAGGTGTGCCCTGGCCCCATCATCCAGGGATGAAGGGCAGATGCTCGCTCAGGGGGATTTAAGCAGACAGGAGTGCTGGAGGGTGCAGTATTAAAATACCACCCCCTGGATAACAGGCTCTGTTTGAAGCATCTCATGTGTGTTAGTTCATATACCCCCAATCTCCATCAGTAAATTACTTTTCTTATTGAGAACACTGATGAAAGAGGGAAGGGGAAGGGGGGCGTCCTGAAACTATAAAGATGAGTTTGAGGTCCATGGAGTTGGCTATAGGAGTGCCAGATCACACCCATACTCTCTATGTGGGGTATGGGCTGATGGTGATATCCACAGGGGACCCAGTCAGCAGATTGGGTGGGGAGGCACCGTGTTCTCTGGATGTCACAGGCTGCCAGGTCTGATTGGCAGAAGGCAGAGGGATGTGCACACGCAAGTGTCTAAGTGAAGGGAGATAGATATATAATGAGATGGCAAGGAAGGCCATGGCGAGGTCCCTCTATGAATACCTGCTGGCATCTGGAGGTTAGTTCCTTGAGGACTGGGGCTCCTTCTTACCATCCAGTCCAGGAGGTCACTGAGGCCCAAGAGCTTTGCTAAAGCTTGCAGGGCATGGAGGGCGGCAATGGGCTGCCCACTGGGTCACAGTGGTGGTGGTGGGGTTCTGGGCTACAGAGACCTCAGGGACACGGGACAAAGCCTCAGGTACCTAGGAATTCTAGCAGCTCTGGGCTGCCCGCCAACTGGGCATCCTTGGAGACACAGCGCAGAATTTCATCAAACATGGCTCTCCTTTCCCGAATGTCAGACTCCCCGACAAACAGGACCTTCCTAGGCAGCGGGGGCAAGCTGGCTGCCGGGTAATGATTGCTCAGTTTCTGGTAAAACTCCTCGATCTCGCTGTATTTTTTGGAGACCTGGAATGAGAGGAGTATGTGGTTTCCTGAGATAAGAGCCAAGGGTAAGAAACTTCCTCACCCTGACCAGATATGTGCCCGGAGCAGGCCTGCCTATGCCCTGCTGAGCTATGCTGCTGTTGCCCCCCAGCCTCACTCTCTGGTTCCCAGAGAGGTCTAAAGTCCCAAAGGAAGGATGCAGGAGTGCAGAGGCCTAAGGCACTGCTGCAGGTTCTGTGTACAGCCCTTTACAGGGACCTAACGTGTCCTGCAAATAACCACGACCTACACCTATTCTGGTCTATCTGAGCCTGCCCAGAGTGAGTTCGGCACCTGGCAGGTGACGGCCATCTTGCGACAGCACTGTGAATCACTTTTTCACAGCACAGACATCTTGATCATCCTCTGACTTGAACCGGCCTTCTGGTGGGGCCTGTCCTGCATGGGGCAGAGCCAAGAACTGCTCAGCAGGAGTCCCTGACGCATGGGTGACACATTGCCTGCTGCTGCCACCAGGTGTCCCCCGAGTCTCCAAAGGCAGCACTCGGCTTACTGCAGATCACAGGCTAAGCTACCCGATCGACTATAATCGCCCTATCCACCTCCTCCCAGTTCTGAACCTCCCCACAGCTTAGCGATCACTGCTTGTCCATAGACTCTTGCTACGCATGTGCTGACACGGAACTCTCTAGCTGGCTCTGGGCTTCATGCAGTGAGTAGCCACAGCCCTGTGCGCTTGTACTGGGATCTGTACAATCCATACGAGCTCAGATAAAAGTCACGTGCCTTATGCCCTGGCCTTCCCCAGCACCCTGGGTTTCCTCAGTCCCGGACTGGTTGGTGCTTCCCTGGAGGGTAAACCCATCTCCACAGGACATATGTGTCACCGTTGAGGATGAAGTCATGGATGACCCACACCCCCAGACCTGGCGTTACCGTCTGAAGTATGTACACAGGTGTGTGACTGTGGACTGAGGGTGGTGCCATCACTGGGACTCTGGAAGGGTGTGGTCCACAGCTCGTTAACCAGCTTACCATTTCAAGGTCCTAGACACCAGGAGCTGGCTGTGCAGTGAGCGTGGCAATGAGGGAGCTTCAGAACCCTGCAAACTGGGAGTCCTCTGGGATAGGAAGCTGTTGCCTATAGTTCCAAACTGGCTCTGGAACTTTCCCGGGAAGAACTCTCGAGGAAAGAGTAAGAGGATCCCCAGGGCACCAGTTTCTCAGGTTCCTACCTGAATTCCTGAGTTCTGAGGCTCTTGCAGTGGCAGCCAAGCCACAGTGGGGAGTGAGCACCCCCTGCTGGCCTAACTGCTCCCTGCAAGCTCAGGCTCCAGACCCACAAAACAGGCAGTGTGAGCTGTAAGTCTCAGAAGCTCTGGCACCGTCCACGGCTCCTTCACCCACTTGTGTTCCAGGCAGAACATCAAGCTGCCAGCAAATGTGACAAAAGCGACAGGGAGCTAAAGTGTGAGCACCAAAATACCCGGTGACTGTGTGTGGCAAGCACTGCTGAGCACTGGGTTGACAGTGATGCTACCTCACGGTCCTCTGGTAAGTGTACACCGACTGTGCAATCAGGGTTTACAGGCACAGTCATACTTTACCTGAGGCTGCCAGATCTCAGATACAGTGCCTCCCCCCGGTGGGGGGGGGGCTGGCTTTATGCCATGGCTAGCAACTAAATGCTTGCTTTTATTAAAAAGTATATATCCTTCTAAGGAACGTACACGAAATATGAATTCTTTTAGCTAACTCATAAAATCCCAGGGGGATAACTCTGGGCTACACCCTTGGATTCCACGGCAAATGAGTTTTCCTTTGCCCTCTTAGGTATTCAAGATCTGCGAAGCGCTGCACCAGCCTGTACGCGCATGCCCACGCTTTGGACGCACCCCAGCATGCTTTCCACGGGGCGTGGGCATCACTGTTTGGGGCAAAGCAGCACTAGTGTGGCATGTGAAAGTGTCCCAGGTGACCTTTCATTCACCCTGCCCTAATGTTCGGTCCTCCGTACAGGACAGAGCAGGCTTCACTGGCACCCCAAGTGTCCCCAAGATGCTGCCTCTCCGTCAGGCCCCGGCATCACTCACTCCCTTTCTGTCTGCTCGGCTCTGAATGCGTGGGTGCACTGAACTCAGGTAATCTGAGGTCAGGCAGATTACTAGGAGTTGCAAACGGCCTCCGAGAGGGGATCCACTCTCACAACACGGCAGACCCAGAATTGGCTCATGTTCTGCCTAGGTCCCTAGGTTTGACCTAGGAGTTGGTTTAAGGAGCAGGCAGATGAAAAACAGCACGGTTGTGGAACGTCCCTGAAGGAAAGATTTGTGACTTACACTATTTTTTTTTTATGTGCATTGATGGTTTGCCTGTGTGTTTTTCTGTGTGAGGGTGCTGGGTCCCCTGGAACTGGAGTTACAGACAGTTGTGAGCTGCCCCATGGGTGCTGGGAATTGAACCCGGGTTCTCTGGAAGAGCAACCAGTGCTCTTAACCTCTGAGCCATCTCTTTACCCCTTACATCATCCTTATAACTTGGTCCCTCGCTGTCACAGAGCTGTACACTCATCATTTTCCTTTCGTTTCGGATGCCTGGAGTTGTGGAACCAACCTGCAGCAGGCTGCGCCCTCCTGGTTCCCCTAACCTTATCCTTTGATCCAGTCTTTCCTGCTCACCAGGTCTGGACCAAAGGGTAAATAAATGTGGGAACACAGCATTCCTTTTTTGAAGTTCTCTGTTCACCCAGCCTCACTTTTCTGCCCTGATGCCAGATTCAACTGCTGCTGGCTTGCTGCTGGCTCCAGGTTTTCTTCCTCGGCTCTTCTCGGTGCTATCCACTCCTAGTTCTCGACAAGACTTCCAAGCTGATGTCTCAGGCCCGGCCCACTTCTATGCTGGGCTTCCTGAGTCGACCCAATGGGTGGATAGCGCACTGACCAGTCTCGAACCTGCTCTTCGTCAGTGTTGCTGACCTTGACAATGGAAGCTGCACACTCTCCTCGCCCCAGCTACTGCTTCTGCAGCTTCCAGCCTGGCTGCTTTCTGTGTTGTCCCCAGGGCCAGGCTCCTGGTCTTCTGATCCCCATGCCTTGCTGTTACTAGACTCTCTGGTTAAAGGCAGATGGGACTGTCATGTCTCTGCTTAAAATGATTTGTCTGCAAGACAAGTGCGGGTCCAGCTGTGTCCTGCTTGTCCCCCACCCTTGTGTCCTCCCAAGACCATGATCAACCGCTCAGAGGCTCCAAATTCTCAGCCCCTTTCCCAGCTCCTTTGCCTTCTTTCTGGAACACCTTTCACTGCTCCCCTGCTGATCAGCACCCTCCCCCCACATCTCTCTCAAGACAGAGATCTTCTGTGTAGCCTTGGCTGTCCTGGAACTCACTCTGTAGACCAGGGTGGCCTTGAACTCCCAAAGAACTCCGCCTGCCTGTGCCTCCAAGTGCCACCACGGCTTAAGACCACCTATTCTTTAAAACACAGTCTTCCAGGAAGTTTCCAGAGTCGTCTCTTCTCTCCAAGGTATATTAGGAGCACCTCTACACATTCCCAGTCTCCCCTGTGCGCCTGTCACATCTATGTCCTTCACAAGTCTGCCTTCCCGAGGACTCGCAGTATGGATCTACTCTGATGTTCCAGTCATCCCACAGCCTAGCGCTCTAGACCCTAGGGAAGTGTCAGCACGCTGATGCTACTGGACCCTGAAGGGCAGACACCCTGCCTGGGTACCCTCAGAGGATCATGGCTAGGGCCCTCTACTCACCAAGAACTGGACAACATCTTCGGGCCGGTGCTTGGCAGACTTGAACACAGCCAACCGGGTCACCACTAGGATCTGGTATTCCACGTGGCCGGACATCATCTTGCCCCGCACTTCCTGGTGCTGTGGCACGGTCAAGTCAAGGCCTGTGTGGACATTCTGAACTTGCCTATAAAGCGAAGGAAGGCAGGTCAAGATCAGGTTCAAGTCGGCAGGCTTGGCCATTGAGATGCAGGTTGGTCAGCCACCTATACCAGGAACTGAACTCCGCATTCTGTTCCTATCCCCTGTGGTATTGACCCCAGTGGCTGAGCGAACTGGCCAGTAGGAATCGCTACGTCTCCGGCTTGGGTTCCTTGTCTTCGCACCTAGGGCTGAGCTGGATTAGAAAAGCCCACTTGTGCTTCCTCAGCCCTGTGTCCAGGCAACTCTGCCCTATCGGCACAATTACACTCCCCTGTCCCTCCCTGAAACTCCTGACCATTAAGTTCAGGCCAGAGCAGGAAGCCTGGGAACACAACCTCATCCAGACATAGAGTTCTCAAGATGTGGTCCCTGGACAGCATAAGCATCTGAATCATAAGCCTGAGGTTTGTTTGTTTGTTTTTCAAAATAGGGTTTCTCTGTGTAGCTTTGATGCCTGTCCTGGAACTAGCACTTTTAGAACAGGCTGGCCTCGAACTCACAGAGATCTGCCTGCCTCTGCCTCCAGAGTGCTGGGATTAAAGGCGTGAGCCGCCACCACCACCCAGCAAGCCTGAGGTTGGTTAGGGCAGATCTTAACTAGCTTAAAGTTTTGCATGCTATCTTACTTCATTTGCAACTCTTCAGCTCTGCCTACAGACACAAAGCAGTCACAGACAACACCTGCACGGTCTGGGTACGTTCTTGTACAACTGGAATTGTTATACCCCCCCCCCCTGCCAAGGCAGTTATGCCATCACCTGTTGCCAGGTGCCTTTCTGTCAGCTGTGTGATATGCTCATCCTTTAAAAGTGCCCGCCAGGCACAGCTCGCTCTCTCACCTCTCTAGTCTGTTCTCTCTGGCTGTTTGCCTGCCTTTCTCGTGTTCTCACTTCAAGACGGCCGATCGTTCATTCTTTCACTATTCCTCGCCCCCAACAAACCCCTTGCACTAACTTGCTTAGTGGCATACCTTAGCAGGGCCTGCCGAAAGGTACCCACTTCACCTTTCTCTCTCTCTCTCTCTCTCTCTCTCTCTCTCTCTCTCTCTCTCTCTCTCTCTCTCTCTCTCTCTCTCTCTCTCTCTCTCTCTCTCTCTCTCTCTGTCTCCCCGAGACAGGAGCTCTCTGTGTAATAGCCCTAGCTGCCCTAGAACTAACTCTGTACCAGGCTGACTGTGAATTCAGAGATCTGCCTCCAGAGTGCTGGGGAAAAGGTGTGTGTCACCACTGCCAGGCACGCCCTTCTTTTTTAAAATTCCTTCAGAAATTGCAAAAGCAAGTAGTTGGCAGCATGGTTCAGGACCACAGTATGCTCACCTGTGTCCTAAACCAAGCCGCTCAACTGCCATGTGACTACAGGTCCCTAGGGTCCCATTGCCCACAGCTTAGCATGATCTGGCCTGGACCAGCTGGGTGGTGGTGGCGCACGCCTTTAATCCCAGCACTTATCTCTGTAAGTTCGAGGCCAGCCTGGTCTAGAAGAGCTAGTTCCAGGACAGAGAAACCCTGTCTCGGGGAAAAAAAGAAAAAAAAAAAACTGGATCAGTATTAGGCACAGAAGAGGCCTCTGGGAAACCATGCACCTGCTGGTTGGATGCATGCATGAAGCCTGGGAGATGTCCAGCAGAAGAAGGCTGGAAACATCAGTTGATCCTGGGTCCAAGGCCACCTCAGCACTTGCAAAGGTGTCAGCATTACTTGAAGGCAAGCTCCCAGGGTCTACTGTGACTATCAGAATGGCCTCTGCCCTCACCACCAGCAGCACTCTCTGTAACACCAGTTACTGAGGGAAGCCACCACTACACTTCCTAGGCACCAGCACCAAGTTCACGGCCATGGGTCTGCCTGGTGTGGCCCACAGGGACATGTACTGCTCCCATGCTTACACTTGTCTATATGGAACCTCCATCTACAGAGAGGGAAACTGAGGCTCAGTGAAAGGACAGAACTCACAGGACGACAGGGATACCTGATCTAGTGCAGATGCGGCCGAAGCCTCATTAACCAAACCAAAAAGCTTCCAACAACAGGGGTTATGTACAGAATTAGACATTTCGAGGCAGGGAGCTGGGAGTTATAGCTGAACCTGTGGGTGTTATGTCCATTTACACAATAATTTATGTATGGAGAGCAAAGGCAGAGTATACGAATATCCTTGAAGTTCGCCATTTTAAAGTTACTTAAAACCCGAGGTACAAGTAGGACCATTCTCCTTCCAGCTTTCCCAAGTTCTCTCCCAGCTGGGTCCCTTAGGTGTGGCTCTGGGTGCTGAGCACTGCCTTTGGCCCTAATGCGGAAACTCATGACCTCTCTCCAGCGCCAACGGTCAGGGTCTCAGCTTTACGTGGTGGCGCCCAACAGCAGCAGTGTTTCCAGGGCAACTGGAATTTACGGCCTCCCCTCCCCCTCCTCCCCCCCGCAGCACCAGCCACCCCGGTGCCGGTATCCACTGCAGGACCAGCTTGTTTGATTCACCTAGTCCCTGGTGCTTAGCGTCGGGCTGGTACACACAGAACTAGTACTGAAAGGTTTGGGGGATCGGGAGAAATGACCCCCAAGTACGCAAGGACAGGGAATGGCCCCCTATCTCAGCCAGTGCCAGTCCCAGGCCCTTCTAGAGTCTTGGATGAGTGCTTGGCCTCAGCTTCCTTGTCTGTAAAATCAGGGATACTAGATGGCGCGCCACCACACCCGCAGGGTAGTGGGGTGCACCGGAATAAACCGCCAGGTTGCTAGGGTGCCCGGGACGCAAGGGTCGGGGGTCTGGCTCACCTGGAGGTGACAAGCACCGCCGGGGACTGCATGTTGGCTGCGGACGGGTAAAAGATCACGGGACCGGGCGTCTCCAGCGTCGCTGCGTTCCGGCCCCGCCCAACTCGGGTTCCGCGCCACCTCCCCGGCTCTGGCCCGCCCCCTGCTGGCGCGTCTTGCACCTCGCAGCCTCCGTGGCCTACGGGGTAGTGGGGTGCTTTGCTTTTCAGCCCTCCGCAGATGCCCCATAGTCACCTCATAAACTTGGCGCCTGATGCCATTTAATCCCAGTACATGCATAGGCCTCTAAGGCGATAGGACTGCAGCCGCTAGTCCTCAAACTGCTCTCCTACAGCTCGCTGCAAAAGACTGCAAAAGCGCTCTCTCCTCTCCTGGGGTCGGTTTCACTTATGCAACCAATCACCCTCTCCCCCTTCCCGTTTATCTCTCCTTCCCCCTCCCCGCGCCATGGATTCCCGGGTGGAATCACCAAGCTTGTATAGAAAACGCTTTCACTCACTGAGCCATCGCACAGGCGGGAACAGAGGTTTTAATGCACCCTCCCCTCCTGTCCCATTCTAAACCCTCCTCTCCTTTCCACACCCTTCCCTCCCATCCCCCTTCTTCTTCCTGCCCACTGCAGAAAGAAGTGGAGCCGGAAAGGGCTTTGTAAAGGAGCAGGTCCTAGAGGACCGAGAACTGCTGAGCCAGAGTGGGGGCGATATTGTGTGGGAGCTCCAGAGACTTGGGGATCAGTGGGAGCCTGAGCAGAGGAGGCAAGCAGGAGTCCGGGCAGGAAGTACTCAGTGTTTGAGTTTAGGACGCTGTACTGACCTGGAGACCAACTTTGGTCATCAGAGAACTGAGCACAGAGGGACATCCTTGTGCGTTAGTGTGAAGATTGCAGACCTGCAGAGCACTCCAGAGTGGGGGAACCACGAAGGCTGCTGAGCTACAGAATAGGGCACAGGTGTGAGAACCCCAGGAGATGGGGGTGAACAGAGGAGTCAAGGTGCTGCAGTGGGCTGAGATGAGGTTCTGTCTTTAGCGCGCTTGCCTGGCATACGCGAGGGCATGAGCTTCATGCCCAGTACTATGTAAACCCCATGGCGGTAAGTCCAGCACTCAGGAGGTGAAGGAAGGAGAAGCAGAAGTTCAAGGTCATCCTCTATTCCACAGTGAGTTTGAGGCCAAGTCAGCCTGGGGTACTTGAGACCTAGGAGAGAGAGAGAGAGAGAGAGAGAGAGAGAGAGAGAGAGAGAGAGAGAGAGAGAGAGAGAGAATAAAAAGATGCTGCTATAGTGCTATAGTTTAGCTTGTGGCTTGGACACTTTGAAGAACCCTGAGGTGGTATAACTATGAGTCTGTTTTGGACAAGAGAGACTGCAGGACCTGGGATGTGGAGATCATTGAATATAAATGGTCAGGACCTAAGGACTTAAGACTCAGATGTGGGTGGAAAGGAGACAAATAAAGCGAAGGATCTGGGTGGCACCCTTTACCATGAGAGCCCCAAAGAGCTGCCTTGAGAGACCCTAGTGGGGACTCCCCACTAGACCCCAGGCTGGTAGCATACCTGCCACCAATACTGTGTGAGCCAGTGAGCTGGGCTTTCCCGTGCACTACAGGAATCTCAGCCTGCCTGGTGCCTGCCAGGGGTACCACAGGATTCCTGTGAAAGTGACCCACTTCCTTGATAGCAATTCCATTTCACCATCTGTGGGTCCCACAGGCTCCAGTGCATAACTGTGTACAATGCCTGGAATGTGGGATCTAAATCTGATACTGTGTGCTTCCTGCTCAGCTCCATGGCGGAGGCAGTAGTAACAAGGACCATGTTGCACAAGACTCCTCCTTGCTGTGTGGGGGAACCACTCCATGTGCCCATCCCCTGGAGGGGAGTTAGGCCTCCAGTGCTGTGGACTCTTAGTTCAGCAGGGGGATGTCTGAACTCTGGCCTGCCATGTGCAAGCATCCCCTTTGTTTCTAGTGGAATGGGTTGTCTTAGGACCTGCTCATTTTATCTGTTCTTTCACTGATGCTCATAGCAACTGAGAGAGATGGAATGTACGGCAGGTGCTGTGGATCAAAAGCCGCCACCAACAGCCTTCCTTCTGCTTTGACTGCTTTGAGGGCCAGAAAAGGAAAACCTTTCACATTCCCTTGTGGCTCAAAGAAGGCATGGGGCTTACTTCTGGAATATATAGGGGAATCTCTGCTGCTTTCCCAGAGGACTTGAGTTCTATTCCAACCACCCACATCAGGTTGTTCACTACTGTCTGCAACTCTAGCTCCAGAGGATCTGATGCCCTCTTCTGGTCTCTGCAGACACACACACACACACACACACACACACACACAATTTTATTATTTTTCCCCCAAGACAGGGTTTCCCTGTGTAGTCCTGGCTATCCTGGAACTTACTTTGTAGACCAGACTAGCCTCAGACTCACAGAGATCCACCTGCCTCTGCCCCCCCGCCCCCCGAGTGCTGGGATTAAAGGTGTAGTTTTATGGAGGCAGCTCCTCAGTTGAGGTCCCTCTTCCCAGGTGACTATAGCTTGTGTCAAGTTGACAAACACTGACTATTGCTGCTCCCTTCATCGTTGTGTGTCTAGAACAGAAACCCTGGGTTCTATGACCAAGGTCGGAGGGATGGACATTCCAAATCATTACACAATAAGCTTTGATTCCAAAAGTCCTTGTTGATTTTTAATTTTGGATGTTGTCATAGTTACTGTTCTGTTGCTGTGAAGAGACACCATGACGAAGCTAACTCATAGAAGAAAGCATTTAACTTGGAGCTTGCTTCCAGTTTCAGAGGGTAGTGCATTGCCATCATGGCGGGAAGCAGACAGGCATGGCACTGGAGCGGTGGCTGAGAGCTTTCCTTCCTGATCTGCAGACAGCAGGCAGAGGGAGAGAGGGACTGGGCCTGGCATGGAAGCCCACCCCCCGTGACACACTTTCTTCAGCAAGATCACACCCTATGCCCTTTCAAAGAGGCAGAGGATATTAGACTTGGCCTGTTTGGAGAGATAGTGTGGCTGGCTCAAAAGTCAAAATCACTTTGCCTCCTGAATGCTAGGATTATGGATAGAGGTCATCTCTATCAGGATCACAATGGAAGTCCACAGTAATGGTGGCTTGAAGGCCAGGTTCCCCCCCCCCCCATACCTCAGTGTTTTTCTCTTGGCATCTCTGAATGTGGTCATCTCTTCTCCCAGGACACCCGCCAAAAGGGTAGTTCAGAGGCCAGGCTTAAACAGCCAGGAGCTGTTACATACTCTTGCCAGCAGATGGCAATATCCGCCAGTCCTCTGCGGTTTGTCCCACCTAGGAGGCACTGAAATGTACCCCTAGGAAGGGCTCTGGGAAAGAAGCTACCTTCTCTCATTATCTCTCCCCCCTCCCCCACAGGGTGGTCTGGCCCACAGAGCAGGCCACACCCAGAGGTCCTAGGTCTGGGATTTGAGGACCCCAGTGTGAATGCCAGAGCTGTTGCTTGGGGCAACCTGGGCAGCCTAGTCATAGGTTAAGCATGGGAAATTCCTGCAATTTGAGGAAGACTGGCCATGGGTATACAGGAGGACTGCTGCCAGAAGCTGCTAGAATCTTTATTTCTGCTGCCCCAGGTCTTTCTGGGAGAGACTTAAGCCTTCCTAGGGGCTGGTAGAGGAGCCAGAGTTATCAGAAGAGAAGGAAGAGGCAAGTAGACACCTGTGTGGAGGTGGGGAAGGGTGGCTGTTGTCACCTCTCTCTCTCCAATCCCCTTCAGGGAGACCTAAGCCAGGACCCACTCTCCCTTTACCCTCTCTCTGCTCTGGATTTTAGGTCAGAGGTCATGGTGCGTCCACACAGAGGACACACTCCTGGTCCTGCTGTCGTGGTTCCTCCATCCTTCACTATCCCTAGGATGACATGTGATTGTTAAACAGTCTCACTATAGTTGGCAAAAGGCAAAGCCAGGAAGGGTGAGGGACTTGCAGCCAGAGGCTCAAGGGCTTGAGTTCAGTTCTCGGGTTAGTGGGTGAAGCCAGATCTGGAACCTGGACAATGGCAGCCCGGGGATCTCAGTGTTTTCCACATGGAATTGACATGCGAAACACACAGTCTGACTTGCACGTTTACAATAGAAAGAAGGGCAGCCAGGACCCAGTGTTCCTCCGTGCACAGAGACCCCTGACTGGGCGGGTAGGTGGGAAAAGAATTACAGTAGGAAGTCTCTGTCCTACCAGAGCCACTTCCTCAGGGACCCCAAAGAAGGAAACCCATAACTACTGTGACTTTTTCATCTGGTCCCCAACCTGGGCACCAAAGGCAGGTTGTCATCCCAGCTGTCCGCCATCACCATTTGGGCTACAGCAGGAAGGCTGGGAGGAGGCAGGCAGCACAAACCTTGGTCCAGGAGCACAGATGCCTGCTACAGACTGAGCTTCAGCCTTACATCTCTCATGGAATCCTTCAAGTATTAACCCTGCAAGTATTGACCCTGGCCAGGGCATTCCTCCCAAACATCCCAAGGGCCCAGATTGAACTCTGCTCCTCTGGTCCAGAAGAAGGAAGAACTGCTTGGGAAAAATAAGAGGCCATGTGTGTGTGTGTGTGTGTGTGTGTGTGTGTGTGTGTGTGTGTGTTGCATGCGTCCCCCATGCCCAAGCGGCTTTTAGATAGCCCATGACCTGCACAGGCCCAGTTTGGTATCCAGTGCAATTTTAAAGTAAAGGGGAGTGGGTGTGGTTCAGGCCCTCAAAGCCTTCTGACAGGTGATCCGTCTATTTTCTGGACACACTCTGGGATTTGTCTGAGCTGAATTGACACAGACTGGCGACCTCCCTCCTCAGCACAGCCCTCTCTTTAGAAACAGAGCTAGCCAAATCAGAGCCTGCATGTCTGCATGCTCTCCATGCGCATGCGCCCCCTATTGATACGGAGGAGGTGGAAGCCTCTTTCACCCATGCTGGATGGGTGCTCTAACCCTAGTGGCTCCAGAGCGCTCCCTCCAGGCTCATAACTACCTACAAACATACCAGTAGCCTGTTGTCTTTTGCTCTCCCCATCTTGAAGAGATGTGATCGCTTGCCCCCCAGACGGTAGAGTTTAGTCTTGCCTTGGTTTGGGTCTGACCACCCTAGTATAGGAAAAATAG